CGCCCTCCTCCTCCTCCTCTCTCTCTCCTCCTTCCCTCCTCCTCTACTCCTCCACTCCTCACTGCTCACCTCATCCTTTTCTCCTCCTTCGGTCCTCCTCCTCCCTCTTCTTCCTCCTCCTCCTCCTCCTCCCTCCCCCTCCCTCCCCCCGGAAAGCAGCGAGCTTGGCAGCTGGGTGCCTGCGACGCGTTGTCGCCGCTGCCGCTGAGCTGCAGCCCTGTCCTGTCGGCTGCCTGGTCAGTCGGCCTGTGTGTCTGTCTGTCTGTCTGTCTGTCTGGGTATATGTCTTTGTTTGTTTGTTCTCTCTCTCTCTCTCTCTCTCTCTCTTTCTTTCTCTCACACCTCTCTCCTTCCCTCAGCAACCGACGAGGGGGGCAAGTTGGCCCACTGGCCCACGTCGCACGCGTCCGCAGCCGGTCCCGAACGGGCCCAGAGGGGTCCCGCCATCGATCCTGAATGGGCCCCCAAGGGGCCCACCTCCGATGCCAAATGGGCCAATATTGGGCCCGCCCCCGACCCCAACTGGGCCCTCACGGGGCCCGCCGCCGATCTCAAATGGGTCCGAAATTGGCCCGCCGCCGATCCCAGACTGGGTCCAAAAAGGCCCTTGCCAGGTCGGCGCGGCCTTCCCAGATGTGCCCAGAACCAACTTTTCCGGGACACCTCGTGCGAGCGTTCCAGACCCAAAATCATCCCCCAGACCACCCCTAAGAGAACCTGTTGAGGTTAGGCCCTAAATGATGAAGTCGACGACTGCGGCAACGATGATGACAGTAGCGATGGTGGAGGCGATGACGCCGATGACGACAGCAAGGCCAATGACGGCGCAGATGCTGGTGACGACAGTGACGATGATGACGTCCATGCGTCGGTGACGAAAGTGATTAGCTGATGATAGCGACAATGGCGGCGACTAGCGATAACGATGATTTCATGAGGCGACGCTGATGAAAATAATGGTGAGGGAGTGCGCGTGCGAAAATGTGACAAATCAGACCGACGTCTTGCCGGAACCCACTTGGTGTTGTAGAGCTCGACCTTGAAATACATCATCAAACAATGGTTTTGGAATGCGTTCGACATGCGCGCATGGCCGCGCACCCGTGTGGCCCGCATGGTCTGTTTTGATACGGATCCGCGCGCTGGGCGCATGCTGGATCAACGCGCATGCACCGCCTGGTGAGATGAGAATGCGAATTCTGGACGAGATCGCTAGAATCAGATGGTTTCCCTGCGATGCGGCAGTTAGTCTGCAAGATCTGCAATCGAAAACCTGAGGGTGTTGGATGCGTTTGTGTTGACATGCTTGCAGCACTTGTGTTTTCGGTGTGATTTCAACCTGTGCGGGCGCATGCGGACTTTGCGCCAGCCTCTGCAAGTGAGTCTTGACACAGTACCTTATGAGATAAACGAGCGTGCGCGAAACATGCTCTTTGACAGGGATGGAGGGGGCACGGTGCCGATCGCCCTGGAATGGCATGAGCTCGCGGCAAGTCATCCATGAGGTCGAATGAGTTATAGTCTGCAGTGCGCCAGGGGGGGACCGATAGGTTCAGGCTCGGGAGGGGGGGGGGACTTTTTGCCAAATGAACAGAAACCAGCACGGACCCTAACTTTAAGTCGGGCGTGTCCTCCTACAGGTGGATTTTGGACGAAAAACTAGAAATAGTAAAAAAAAAAAAATGAAAGTTCAAAAATACTACAAAGAATCCTTCCGATATTGTTTTTCGACTATTTCTGGCTATTCCTCCTGTAGAGGGACGTGCCCGACTTATCACTAACTTTTGGAGGTCCGCGAGGGTTTCTTGAACCTGTGCTGAGGCTTCCTCCCCAGCGCGCGGAGCGCGGCAGGGGCGGCACCGGAGGCGCCGCCAGGGGGGGGGGCCAGCGCCGATCCAAGAAATCCGCCCGAATCTCCGACATGTTATGCTTACGGCTGGACCTAGGACAGAAGAGCACCCTTCAAGAGCATGAAACCCCCGGCAGGCCATACCGAAGAACCCTCGAGGGTACCCCGCCCCCCCGGGATGCTCAAAAACATGCGACACATGCGATGAGCATCAGGACACCCTCACCGAACCGACCTCGATCTTACCTCGGTCCGACTGTAGTGTATGCTCATGCCCGCGTGTCTTCTTCGGCTTTTGAAGCCAGAGCAAAAGAGGTCCTCGATATGCGGTGCGCTTAGCTGCTCCGATACGCAACACGCAACACGTAGCGTATTGAAACGGAGCTCAACACGTAGACTGAACACGTACGTTTGGACACGGGCGTTTTGAACACGGCACGTCTTACGTTTTAAAACGTGCGTATCAGAGCAGCTGAGGCGGTGCGTACTCGCCTCCTCCCCCAGCATCCCGCGGAGGGGCGGATCCGAGAGCAGGCCCCAGCTCGCGGTGCCCGCAGAGGAGGGCTCTGGAGAGGCGATGCGCCCCCTTTTGCCAGCCCCGGCATCGTCTCCTCGAGCCTCGGCTCGACCCTCCTCGATCCTCCTGCTGCTCCTCGATCCTCCTCGACCCTCAAGCCTTGATCCTCGTCTCCTCCTCGTCCTCCCCCTCCTCCTCTCTCGTCATCCCCCTTCGCCTGCCCTCCCTCCTCCCCTCCTCCTCCTCCGACTGCTCCTTCACCTTCTCCTCCTCCTCCTCTTCCTCCTCCGCCTCCTCCTCCTCCTCCTCCTCCTCCTCCCTCCCCCTGGCAGAGATGGACCTGGCGTGAGCCCCCGCGCGCGAACGGTCATGCAGCAACACATAGCAATACACCAGCACACAAACATAAACGATTGGGGCTGCGGTGGAGACGCCGCTGGGGCGTGGGTTCAGCGCCGACCCAGGGAAGTCCGCGCGGACCTCCAGGAGTTTACGTGCATGCCATCCTGCCCCGTTTGAGGTTACGCATGCCCTGAAGAGTGGCAAGGCAAACATATCGCCAACGTAGAAACGTGTAGCGTGCAAGCCCGCGTGCAACACAGGAACGTATACAGTCGGACTCGATTGGACAGGACACGCGAGAGGACACAAGACCCTTCCGAGGGCCACATTGCCACAGGAATGTAGGAAGCATGGGTCGCGAGACACAGGACACAAGGGTACCCTTGATTTGGTCGACTGTAGCGTGCAGCCACGCTCTCGGGTGTACAAGGTGGGGTCGGAAAAAGGGGATGCGCGTACACAGCGTGCACAGACGGTGCGTGGCACTTCGTCCCCCGAGGGGTGCCGCGCACACTGAGCACGAGGAAGCTCGACCGTGCCGCGGGCGGCCGCCGCCCAAGTTCAACCGCACAGAAATCACCGCTGCTCTGAAGATGTTCCCACCGCCTGCCGCCTCGGCGGCCTTCTGGGCGCGTCCCTGGAGTCGGGCCGCCCGAAAAAAGCCACGGCGCCCAGCAGCTCGAGAGCGTGGTGGAAGCTGTCAAAGAGGTGCAGCGACGAACTATACCCATAACTACATTCAAACACAATGTTGAACCAAAAACTCGGCACTGATCACGAACGCGAAGATGATGAGCGCGGGAACAGCAGGAGCGATACGGATTCGAGAAGCAGAACGAGGAGGAACGGGAGGCCGAGCTTTTCTGCCACAAAGGGCCTCTCCGCTCCTCCGTTACAAGTTCGTGGAAATGTCCCTTCTGCCACAGAGAGGCGGCGACATTGTCACTCATTTGCGGCTCTTGGATGAATCACCTCCTGCCGTGCAAGTGCAGCTCGGCACGGAGCTGCTCCAGAGTCTCAGTGCCCCTTCTGTCACAGAGGGGCAACATTGTCACTTCATTGCGGCTCTTGGATTCAATCCTGCCTTGCACGTGCAACTCGGCACGGAGCTGCTCTCGGGAGCGGCCAAGAGGGGGGTGTCCAAGAGGGGGGGGGTGCAAATCATGACCGGCGGCATGTGCGCAGCCAAGCGGGGGGGCCAGGGACGTAATGAAACAAGAAGAGGCGCCATGAAATCTGGGGAAATATCATGGCCCACGCCATGATATCCACATCCCCCCTAGTCGTCCCCCCTTCTTTGCCGCCACCGAGAATAGAATGACCCCGACGAGCGAAGCCGTTTCGTAAACGTACCCAGGGAAAGAATCGAATAGGTCAGGGCTTTCTGGTAAACGCCAAGGGCCGTTTGGTAAACGTCAATGGAGCAGGGTCCGATCGTCCCGGCATTCCTATAGGCCTACCACGAAATATTCTTAGAACCAACAAGTGTTCTAATAACACTAAAAGGTTCTTAGACCATAAGCCCGATGTGTGAAAACAGAACAGTCCCAGCCAGAAACGATTTGAGAACACTTCGTGCAAGCCTCAAACAGTTCTTAGAATATCCTTTGGTGGGCCTATAGGCGAGCCGGGACTGCTTGAGTCAAGTGTCAGGTCCGGGTGGTTTTTCCTCCCCGGAACGCTGACGCGTGT